GGGGAGATTACCTTTTTGATAGTAGATTTAAAAATTAAAAGTAGCTTTTATAAAGATCTATTAATTATATTTCTTTTAATACTTATTGTCACAAAAAGAGCTATTATAAGCATATTTCTATAAAGATGCTCAGAATCATTCAGTTTTTCACATATCAGTTTTTTGCATACAAAACATGCTGCTTTGGGGCACTGTGTCAAACATACAAATATGTTAAAGATCAAAATAGATTTAAATTGCAAATGATTTATATCAAGTACAAAGAAACATTTGAATAAACTTATAGTCAGAGACAGGGAAAAAGACATAATAATCTTATGTTTAATTTAAATCACTGATAGAAATAGTGTTCTCTTTTCATATAACACTGGAATTTATTTGTATTCAAAAGCAATGGTAAATGTCAAATGACTATAAGAGCATCCTTCTGAATACAAGAAAATATCATGCTGTTTAACTCTCACAACACAAAAAGTGCCTTCAGAAAAACAAAAGATAAAGAACAGCATGTCTCAGTCAAATAGATCAATTGCAGTACCACAACATGCTAGCAGATAACCATGAGCATACAGAAAATTTCCTTAATTACTATATACTTTTAAACATTTGAACTTCAAAAAATATTCAGATAAGAACTTTAAAAATCTATAAAAGTAACTAAGATTAGTATCGAAGTTAATCTTAATGTGAGGAATGCTTTATTAAAATTAGCAACATTTAAGATGGATCCTTAAAATTGCTATTATATAGGCTACTATGTAATATATAGAATATAGGTTCTAGTGTTGAAAGAAAATAATGAGTTCAATAAAATAAAAAAGCTAAATGTCAATTGTGTATGAATTTCAGCTATCAAATGAAAAACTGACTCAATAGCCACTTACTTTTTCTTGTTTGTCCTCATTCACTTGTGTGAGTGTGTGTGTGTGTGTGTGTGTGTGTGTGTGTGTGTGTGGCGGTGGGAGGGGAGGGGAGGGGGAGTAGTGTTCTGGAGATTGAACCCAGGGCCTTATGCATTCAAGGCAAGCACTCTACCAACTGAGCTATAGCCCCAGCCCCTCATTCACTTTTTACTTTATCAGTGACACACACACACACACACACACACACACACACACAAAAGCATTAAAAAGCCAAAGTCAAATAATTGGTCTAAATTTAATAAGACTAATCTGACCTTACTCTGAAAGAAAGACTTAAATGAAAACATGTGTAAAGTGCCTATCAATTACCTGGGTAATAAAGGTTACTTTTGTCCCCACTATCCTCATTATTATCATTAAGTCTTATATAACCTAAAAACAGCAACCTTTGAGAGCAGCAGGGTCTCAGTGCCCCCAGTCTGAGACATAGTACCAAGTATTTAGTAGGAGGTTAATAAATGCTTTCTTGATTTACTGAAGGATAATAATAATAAATGAATGTAAAAGAGAAGCTAATTGATAGTCTAAAAGCATTAGTACATTCCAGTGGCCTCTATATGAAAGGTTACTAACCCATCTCAGCTAAGTGGTGAAATTATAATTAGGTCTGATGGGAAGTCCCAGATTTATACCAATATAATTACAAATATTACTTAGCTTGGTAATATAGTATGGCAAGAACAATGAGATGAGTAATTTAGATGATACTGTAAAGTGGGTTTTAATGTTTAAAAGTTCTATTATAGTACACAGGATAAGTGCAAGTAGTATAATTAAAACCTAAAAGAGTCTGATCTTTAAAACTCTACTGGTCAACCTCATTAACATGCATGTTTTCTCAATTAATCCAAACTTTTCCATTAAGAACAAAAATATACTTTCATTCATTGAAAATAAATCTCCACAGTATATATATTTAAGATCAAACACCAAATAACCATTACAGTTAAATAGAAAAGAAATGATTGAAACTGCACAAGGTTTGAAAACATGAAGACTAACAAAGAGAAGGAAAGGCACTGTGAGGGCTGCCCACGTTTTCATTCTGTAAGTCACCCAGTTACAGCTAAATAAGCATTTAAAGATCTGGAAGACTGGAAGTTCCTGGACTTCTTTGTTTCAATGATATAAACTTATGCAATCCATAAAATCATATATGGACTGCATCATATTTAACAATTATAGTATCCTTCAATTAGTGACTCTCCTACATAGGACAGATACACAGAAAATTGTTGTGGAATATAATCTTTTTTGCAGAAACAGTTTTTTTTCCCTTTAATTTAATGAATTGCTAAGAAAGTTATCTCAATAGTAAGCTAATGTTAAACAACTAAAACTACAAAATCATTTTATTTACTTAATTTTATTATTATGAAAAGCTTTGTAAACATTATTTTAATCATTACATAATTGCCTATATAGAAAAATGTCAATTATAGAGAAAAAATTTAACTTTTAAACTATTATCAATTTTCCCCTAGATTTTGATATGCTTCATATAGTGAATATTACTAGAGAAAAATAAATGCTTTTTATAAATGATGACCATATGTCCATGCTACATTATAAAATTTTTCAAGAAATTTGAATATTTGAAATATTAGTAAATATTATAAGAAAAATGTTATGGATTAAAGACTTAAACATAAGACCTGCAACTATAAAACCACTAGAAGAAAAAATTAAGGGGAATGCTTCATTCCACTGGAATGGGCAAAAATTTTTTGAACAAGATCCTAAAAGTACAAGACATAAAAGCAAAAGTAGACTACTGGGATTATATTAAACCTAAAATCTTCTGCACAGCAAAGAAAACAATCAGAGTGGAGAGATGACCTATGAAATGGGAGAAAATATTTGCAAACTACATAATTAATAAGGGGTAAATTCTCTATATATCTAAGATATATAAGGAACTCAAAGAATTCAATAGCAAAAAAACCCGAACAACCCAATCAAAAAATGGACAAAAGACCTAATTAGACATTTCTTAAAAGAAAACACACAAATGGCCAACAGGTATATTTAAAAATCCTCAATATCACTAATCATCAGGGAAATGAGCTATCACTTCACTCCAGTAAGAATGGCTATTATTAAAAACAACAACAACAAAAAATAAGTGCTGGCAAATTTGGGGAGAAGACAATCTTTTCACACCATTGGTCAGAATTCAATAGGTACAGCTGTTACAGAACACTGTTTGGCAGTTCCTTAAAAAATTCAAAATAGGATAACCATATGATCCTATAATCCTACCACTGGATATATATCCAAAGGAAATGAAATCTATATGTCAAAAAGACATTTGCACTCCGAAATTTACTGAAGCCTATCATAATACCCAAGATATGGAAACAATTAAATGTTCATCAACTGATGAATAAAGAAAATGTAGTATATATGTATGCATGTATTTATTTAAAAATAAATACTAGCAAAAATAAATACGTATATATATATATATATATATGTGTGTGTGTGTGTATATATCTCCACTAAAAGTATGAAATCCTGTCATTTGTAGAAACATGGATGAATCTGGAGATCATTATTTTAAGTGAAGTAAGCAAGGCACAGAAAGACAAGTACTGCATTATCTCAATTATATACAGAATATTAAAAAAAATTTGATTTCATATAAGAATCCTATGCTCATTACCAGAAGCTGGGCAAGAAGTTGATCAATGGGTAATAAGTTACAGTTAGACAAGAATAAGAAGTTCTAGTGTGCTCTTGCACAATAGGGTGATGATAAATAATGATAATGTACTATTTCAAAAATCTAGAATAAAAGGATTTTGAATGTTTTCACCATGAAAAAATAGGTTAATATTTGAAGAGACAGATATCTTTAATCTGATTTAAACATTAAACAATGTGAACAGATATCAAAATATCACATGGTACCCCACATATATGTACAATTATTACTTTATGTATCAGTTAAAATTATAAACATTAAAAATAAATACTAGCAAATATTTATTAAGAAGTAAAGGCTATCATATAATATAAAGAGTTATTCGGGATAATCTAAGAAAGTTTCACTAGAAATTCCCATAATTGGGGAAAATGAGATCTATATGATTTCATTATTGAAATATAAAATGAATTAGAAGTGGGGGGAGGGAGTCTTGGATGTAAATAATTATCTGATAAAAACAACAAATTATTTCTATTTATAAAAAGTATTTCAATCTAAATAGGTTTTAATTTTAGCTAAAATAGTGCTTTGTATTTTGAAAGCAAAATATATTTGGTGATCTATCTTTTAAAAAAATTCTGAGGGCTGGGGTTGTAGCTCAGTGGTAGAGCACTTGCTTACCATGTGTAAGATATTGGATTCGATCCTTATCACCACATAAAAATAAATAAAGTTATTTAAAAAAATTCTTGAAAAGTTAGTGGGCAAGAATTCTGTCCCATGCCTATATTTACAAACCTACATCAACTAATCAGTATTTCAGTATTACCAATACAACTATGCAGTTGCTTTCAATATTAAAATCTACTCCTGAGAGTTTGTCTACATCTTTTTATTCCTTCAGGCAATATTTTAAAGAAGAATGGATTTATCATTATTTATAAGACTTTCCACTGTACACATTTTTACACTATATTTTAAACTGTTCATCAAATAACTTCCATTTTCAAAACAAATTATTCAAAGAACAAAATGTCTTCAAGAATAGGTCTAAATGTTTTATGTTTGGGATGATTTCTCAGAGTCATTTTCCTTAGTAAATATACAGTAAAATCAACCACAAAAAAAAGCAAAAATATTAAAAAGACAAACAATATATCCTAGATTGGTAACAAAGAAAAGAATGAACAGACTACTATTGCAATTATTTAGGCAAACATTTCCATTAGAGCACATAAAAACCTGCTGTATTTATAAGCAATGGATGCATTAAAAGTATAAGCCTAGACAGTTTTCAAAACTTAAGCCTATCAATTTGAAAAGGCACAGCTGCAATCAGTTTTACTTAAAGTTGACATGCCTTGTTATAATGGCAATTAGTATTTGTTACATGTTTTCCTCTGTTGTTAAGATGTTACAACAGTTACCTGTCATTTATGATCCAGTTCAGACAGAGATTGAGAGAGCTAAGATTTTTGCACCTCTTGACAATTTCCATCACAGTTTCATTATCCAGTTCAGTGATATGACGTAAGTCCAAGCTGGAAAGGTTTCTTAGCTAATAAGATAAATAAAATGAAAGATAAAAAGGTAAATGCTACATGCATTCTCAAAAACTATAGTACAGTTCATTACAAAGTAGAGTATCACTGTATTTAAAACAGATAACAGTCCAGAATTATCATCTACATAATATTTTACATACCAAATTAAAAATGAGTGTGGAACTCTATGATGAATATATAAATGGCATCAAATGCTAAAATAAAACAGATTTTATTGATAAAACAAAATCAAATATTAGCGAATTCTTATCTAATAGGTGAGGGAAAGCTGTTGAATACACTATAAAAAGGATCTACAATTGGGTAAACTTATTCTTACAGTGTTAAATTTCAGATATTTATCTTCATAATTATAATGCCATTTCTGAATAGGTTTTCTCATTTTTGAAAGATGAAATATGAGTAAATGCTCAGGGGAAATAGGACTAACTTTCTTCCCTATTTTAGGTAGATTTATCTGTCCTTGAGTACATACCCACCATAAGAATGATGGTTGTATACCAGAAAATCTCAGAAATGACTATCTCACAAATGAACAAGTGAATTACAACTCCAAACAGAGGACACATGGAATGTAGCCTTTAATCACCTCTTTAAAAGCCCCTGTTGCTGCTGATGGGCAGAATCACAGCCTTTGGGACAGGAGTCCCCTGTGTTTCTCCTCTGCTAGCAAAGCAATAAAATGTTTTTCCTTTTAAAAAAAAAAAAAGAAATATGATAAATGGTTAATTCCGAGATATCTTGGCGATATTTGATCAATGTACTCCAAATTGTACTATTTTATCAATATACTCCATCCTGAAACAATATAAAACACTTAAGAAGCAAAATTTTCTCTACATTCCACCTCCCACACTTCTTCATTTTCTTGATTCCTTTCTTCAGGTTTCCTGTCTTCCCCTGATGCTTACTCTTCAAAAGCAACTTAACAATATCATTTACTCAAAGGTGGAAAGATCTTAATTATCCTCTTCAAATAAGGTACATTTCAAATAGGTATTTTTGCTTAATAAAATGCAAAGAATCAATCTGGAGGAATGTGGTAGATAACATTACATTCTACCACCCCAGGAAAGATGTCTGTGCCCTAATATCTTACTTACTTCGGCAATACAATCATATATACATGATTGAAGTTATGGACCCAAAAATGAGAAGACTATGCCAAATTATTCAAGGAGGCCCAATTTAATCTCATGATCCCTTTAAAAGATTCTCCTAGTTAAGCAGAGAATCTCAATGTTAGAGAGATGTGACCAAAGAGATAGAGTCATGAAAGGAATTTAATGAGACTTTTTGTTTCTTTTAATTTTTTCTTTTTAGATATACATGACAGTTGACTGTATTTTGACATATTATACATACATGGAGTAAAACTTATTCTAATTAGGATCCCATTCTTGTGGTTGTACATGATCCATGTGCCTTTTAAAAGCACTGAATGTGAGGGAAGAGAACCAGGAATCAAGGAATGTGAGTAGCTCAAGAGCTGGAAACAACACAAGCTGGACAGCCAGAAAGAAATAGGGACCTCAGACCTACAACCTTATAGAACTTAATTCTGTCAAAAACTTGAACCAGGAAAAAAATTTGACTATTTCCTTAAGTTTTCAGGAAGGAACACAATTACGTCAACACCTGGAGTTCAGCCTGGTGAAATGGAGGACAAGCAGATTTCTAATTTACAACGTTAACAGTGAGATAATAAATTTGTGCTGTTTTAAGCCATTGAGTGAGTGGGGACTTGTCACAGCAGCACTAGGAAACTAGTACACAACATTTCCAGCACCTTAAGGGAGCTCACCCAGGACTATATGCCTCACAGTTCCTGGTCTCTGATTTAGAGACCTCTGTCAAAAGCCTCAGAGTGGTGAAAGAGCCAAGACCTCCTTGGAGTCAGTTCAATTTAATCCCCAAAAGAAAAGCAGACACTTGAACCTTTACTGTAAATGTTCTTTTTATCTGCTGTCCAATATGGTAACCATTAATCACATGTAGTTACCAAGTACTTCAAATGTGACCAGCATGGCAGGGACATAAATCTTAAATTTAATTTTAATTCCTTTACACAATTTTATATCTGTGTGCTGCCAGTGGCTACAATGTTGGACATAGCTCTCCTAAATATGAATGGTCACTGGAGGAATGGGAAGTCAGTCAGCCAAGTAAACACTTTGCATCTCAGTTCAAAAAGGGAGAAACTAGCTCCCTGATACCCATGAAGCACAGGCAGGTCCAGATCAGCCCGGCTGACAGTGACAGAGCCCCACACTGGGTTCAGAGACAGCTGACAGCCACAACACTGAATGCCACAGAGCTGTATCTTTGAACACATCACCCAATGCCACAACCCGGTGTCCCCCATAGGACCGGAGACTCCATTACTGAAAGCAACCACCTCAAGCATGGGACACCTTCGTTGCCATCTTTAGTTGGGGAACTCCCAGCTTGGAACGCTGGCTGGACAGGTAGTCCCCAACTCCTTCCTCTCCCTAGCAGCCACTAACTCCACACAAATACAAAACAGCTCTTGCCAATACAAAACATCTCTCCAAGACAGGTGTGCAGCCCTCGTAGCGCAAACTACAAGACCTCTGGAGAGAAGGGTCCCTGATTAGGAAGTAGAAAGAGAGGAAGTAAATGAAATACAGTTTAGAGACTAAATTAGAGACCAGGAAATGTGAGGTCTATAGGTGATATAAGGAGATAAGACCAGGTACCCACATCACAGGAGCAGGCCCAAAAGGAGATCCTTGGGAGTCTTTTATCAGAGACTGACTAGTGCCATAATTCCAGGTACCCTGTACCCAAGACAAACCCTCCCATCCTGGTAACATTTACCATTCTGAGGGTGGAGATACCAGCAAATAACAGACAATACCACCTATTATATGAGAAGGGAAGCAGGAAACTGCTGAACTCCAACCAAAACAATCCTTGTTTCTTCCTTTAAGACTTTTTTTTTTTTTACCTCTTCCCTCTTAATTCTCCTGCCCTCTCATTCCCAACATTTGTGAAACCAAGTACTTTGCATGAATTAGGATACTGAAGACTGGGATGTCTGAATAGTATACTACTGTTGTGTTGCATATTGTTTTATCTCCTATTTTTACATTTTTAATTTTTTTTAATACTTATGTGTGTTTGTTATATATACTCTATTGTCTTCCCAATTACTTATCTCCTAAAATCACTTCCTCTCTCTTCCCCTGCTAATAACCATCTTCTTTAGATTCCTCTTTCACACTTCCTAAGATCTAATCCTTACCTCCTACCTCCTCAGCATCTAACTTTACACCTCACCCCTGGTTCTTCTTCCACCATCAGAAACTGTAAACCCTTTTGCAAATCTACTGCTTATATTGTAGATAATAATTAAACTCACCATTTCTGTATATTGCGACAAAACTGTAAACGCCTTAATAATAACTATTTGGTTTAAAGTTGTATATTGTTTGTATTGGGATCTGTGAACATTGTTCTTCCCCTCAAAGGAGAGGTACTGGAACCCTGAAGGGGCACTATAAGCCTAAAGTATAAAAATGGTAATACCCTGGATCCCCAGTGCTAGAAAGGAAGGCACATGAACAACGTGAAAAAAACACAAGGGAAAAGAGTGCCTCAAACAAATCAAGACCCTACATTATTAAAATCCATGTCTAGGACATCAGAAGAAAGGACAGAGACGGAGTACACAATATACATAATTAAAATGTTCTGTGAATTAAAGGATGATATAAGAGAAAAATACAGGCAGCAAAAGATAATTTCAGTAAAGAGCTACATAAGCAAATACAGGAAACAAAAGATTATTTCAATAAGAAATCGAGGTTCTGAAAAAAAATCAAACAGAAATCCTTGAAATGAAAGAAACAATAAGCCAAATTAAAAGCTCAATAGAAAGCATCACCAACAGATTGGACCACTTGGAAAATAAGATCTCAGACAATGAAAAAAAAATAATAATCTCCAAAAGAATATAGATCACACAAAAGAATGTAGATCTTAGATGGTAAGAAACCATGAGCAGAACATTCAAGAAATATGGGATGATATAAAAGGACCAAATTTAACAGTTATTGGGATAGAGGAAGGCATAGAGTTCCATACTAAAGGAATGAACTATCTATTCAATGAAATAATATCAGAAAATTTTCCAGACATGAAAAATGAATTAGAAAACCAAATACAAGAGGCTTACAGATGCCAAATGTACAAAATCACAACAGATCCACACTAAGGCACATTATGATGAAAACATCTAGCATTTAGAATAAGGAGAGAGTATTAAAAGGCACCAGAGAAAGGAATCAGATTATATATAGCGGGAAACCAATTAGAATGTCTGCAGATTTTTCAGCCCAGACCCTGAAAGCTAGAAGATCCTGGAACAACTTATACCAAGCTCTGAAAGAAAACGGATATCAAACAAAAATCTTATATCCAGCAAAATTAAGTTTTAGATTTTATGATGAAATAAAAACCTTCCACGATGAACAAAAGTTGAAAGAATTTACAGCTAGAAATCCTACAATACAGAACATCCTTGGCAAAATATTCCATGAGGAAGAAATGAAAAATGACAATAAAAATCAGCAAAGGGAGGTATTATCTAAAGGAAAAATGAATCAAAGGAGAAACGAAGTCAGTTAAATACCAAAAATAAACAAGAATGGCTGGGAATACAAATCATGTCTCAATAATAACCCTGAATGTTAATGGCCTAAACTTACCAATCAAAAAACACAGACTGGCAGACTGGATTTTTAAAAATGACCCTCTGAAAGACTCATCTCATAGAAAAAGACATCCATAGACTGAAGGTGAAAGGTTTGGGAAATAACTTACCACTCACATGGACTGCGGAAACAAGCAAGGGTCTCCATTCTCATATAAAGTAGACTTCAAGCTAAAGTTAATCAAAAAGGATAAAGAAGGACATTTCACACTGCTCAAGGGAACCATACATGAACAAGACATAACAATTATAAAT